TACCCAAAAACAAGTAATGTTCGAGAGTATGTGAAAGAGAGTTATTATTTCGTACTGTACAAAATTTATTTAAATTTTTATTGAAAAATAACTTTCAGTAAAATTCAAGTAAAGGGAAGTAAAAGTAGTTGATTTGCCCCTTAAAATAATTTACAGTTCATTTTATAATTAATTGTAGTATATATATATAAAGTAATGCAATGTTATTAAAATTCTAAAACTTAAACTTATTGTAGGCTTTAAATAAAAAGCGATTCAATAAAGACATATTGTAAAATTAAAAATATATATCATCATAATGCAAAATTTTTATATCGATATATTTTCTAATTTAATTAAATTGAAAAGTGAAGATTATTTGAATAAATATTTTTAATGAAATCACAAACTTAATAAATAATCTGTTAATTATTTATATGATAATGAAAATCCATACAAAAAAAAAGAATTTTTTATTAATGACATTGCGAAAAATAAGAAGAAAGCAGTGACATATATATATTATATATATACATATATATATATACGGCGACAATTTAAGCTTACATATAATTGAAAATTGATGTATTAAATTATCGGAACCAACTCTACTGTTATTCAAATTATGCTGCTACCCTTTACATTACTACAAGCCTTTTAAGAGTTCGAGTAAATTGATGGTAAATTGAGTAAAATAGTAAATTATTACGGTATGGCAGCGAATATTGGTATTTACCAGACTTTCGAGTAGGGTGAATTAGATAAAAATTAGTTATTACCATTGTGAAAATTTTATAAGATGTTTAATAAATAAATTTGAAAACTTTGAAAATTTGAAATTTCAATTTACTTTAGCTCAATTTACTCAAACTCGCACATGACCTATATATTTAGTGGGTGCCCTAATTTTTTAATATGTAGCATATATAAAATATTCGACACATATTGTAATATAAACTAGTTATTAATATCTAAATGTCCATTCCAGTAATCAAATGAAATGTAGACATTAAAATATACAAAGCTGAGCATTTAGACAAGAAATATTTTAACCAAAATTTAAAATAAATAAGGGGAGGAGGGGAGAATGTGCTATTCCTAGATAATAATTACTGACTAGAGGTAAACTCTATGCAATGGGTTGTTGTAACCACGATTGAAGTCTGTAGTTCTCTTTAAAAAAAAATTTCTTTTTACTTTTTCTTATGACATCAGCTTGGCATATGTAGGTGATTGGAGCTATTAATATTATAAGTTCAACCAAAAATTAAATAGGTGAAATTTTAAGTTATTGTCCACTAATATAATAAGAATTCCTTAGGGTTCAATTATTCAATTTTTTTTTTTTTTGCAATGAATGTATCAGATTAGTTTAGATAATTAATTAATAAGATTAAACGTATATAATATAAATGATAGATAATTGGTAATATATGAATTAGTGGTATAAATGGTCAAAAATTGTTTTTAACTTATTAGCTGATGATTGTTCAATTAAAAATATTATTGGTCTAAAAAGAAGATAAGTTTTGTTCGAAAGTTCATTTGAAATAAAGTATTACACTTACAAACTTATTTTAGAAATTTGTTTTTATTTATTTTAATTTATTTTACAGAAAAATCTAAATTTTTCACCAAATAAGTTATTTAAAATTTAAATCGTTTTATGCTACGTGCCGCTTGATGTCGCAGCAAACAGTAAAATGAAAAACATTATTTAACAGCTGATGTTGACAAGTGCAGAGAGCGCACAAGAAAGACATGCCACACAATAGCAATGATGAAAATGACAATAAAGTCGCAGCAGAAGTATAGACGCGTCTCATCACTTAAGTTTTAAAATTTCTTTACTTTCAAATTATAAATAAAACATAAAAATTATATAGATTATTAAGTGATTTCTTCAGTAATGTAATGTATACAATTTTTATAAAATGTAACGGCTTTAAAATTCTGACTAAATAAATTGTATGGCAACAGTACAACAGCAAATATAAATAAAACCTCAGTTGGGAGAAGTGTTAAAATAAAATTAAAGTGTAAATACATATTTGTCACATAGTTCACATTAAAAAACAACTAAAATAGTTTTTTAAAATAAGCTGGTAAAAATCTTTGTTTAAAAATTTGGTAATTAAAATAAAAATTAAATATTAATATTAAAATATTTTAAGAAAATTATTTGAGCAGCGAAGAGATAACAAAGAAAATAAGAGATTACCAGCTTCGTAAAAAATTGATTATAGCACAATTTGTGTAATAGAGTGTAATGTGCGCATATATGTGAAAAAGTTAAAAAAATTAATGATATAGGTAAAGTTTGTGAAATTTATATAATTTTTTTTTTATATTATTAAACTAAAAAAAATTAAAATAAAAAAAAATTAATACTAAGTTGAAATTTGATTGATACAATAAAATTTGTGTAAAATTGTATGTAAAAATATTTAAAATTTTATATAAAGAAAACTAAGTGTTTAAAATTATTGATTTCTTGAAACTATGTACATTATTAATATTTAATGCATACTGATAAAAGTTTACTGATAAAAGAGTTATACTTATTTAATAACATATCTTAAGCAAACCTATGTGTGGCATTTATAAGTAAATTGTATTATTTTGGTAGTCTTTTTACTAGTCTAAATTTGTAATATGCGCAAAATTGTTTTTTGAAGTGACTTTAATTTTCCTATAAAAATACTATAGAAAATAGTATTTATGTAGGAAATAGTATACTTATACAATACGTTAGAAATATTTATTTATAATTTTCAAGATTTTTTCTTATATCCCTAATACTAAAATCATTAATAATTTTTTATCATAATTATTTTGTGAGCTATAACTCTATTTATTTGTATATTTTTCTTTTTTCCGATATTTTATGGGAGACTTTTTCTTATCACTTTTTTATGCTCTATTTTGCTTTGTGTATTTTTAAAAATGAAAAGAATACTATAATTTTCATATTAAAGACGTTTTCTGTAATGTATAAAAACATTTCATTTTTCATTTTTTGTATTATTTATCATTATTGACATTATGAATATTGAAAAAGAGATCAGTGTTACATACAGTAGTCTACCATCTGATGTCTGATGCATCTTCTGTCTCACACATTAGATGGTTATAAGAGCCCATTGTAATATTACAATTGGCGCTTTTTCAAGGAAATCTAATTCAAAATGGCATCTCTACTCTTTTGATAAAACAGACAAGGTGCCAAAATTCTTTTTCCCTGATAATAAAGAAGTACTTGAGCAAGGCTACACTATAAACACCTTCTAGCTGATGCTAAGCAGTGCCAAAGTTTATGCTTGATATTTTCATTTTCCTATTCTGAGTCACAGTTAACAAGCAGATGCCTTGATGTTGAAAGATTTGTTGAAAAGTAAATATAAATATAAAATTAGTTTACAATAATTTAAATAATCTTTCTTTTTAAATATTTTTCCTAGAACAAAAGATCTTTCTATTTGTTAACTAAGACTGTATGGACTAGGTGATAACACAGAGTCACGGTCACAGTCACGTTAAATGTAAAATTATTATTTTCAATATAAAAATTAAAAAACTCACTAAAGTTCTAATCTTAATAAAATGAAAGAATAAATGTTTTTTTCCTAAAACAAACTCACTAAAGTTACATATAAAAATATAAAATAATTGAAGATAAATAAACAAATATGATCGGTAATGTATATACCAATACTATTTTTCTCTTAAAAACGTTTTTTATAATTTTTTTTTGTTATATATTTATATAATATATAATATTTTTAATATATTTATATAATAATTTTTGTTCTATTTAAATTATTTATTTATTTTGTTGATTAAATTAAATTATAATTAAATTAATATATGAAAAATTGAATTAACTAATTCAATCAAATAAATAAATTAATTTAAAAATAAATTAAATAAATATAATAAATAAATTAATTAACTATATTAATAGAAGAAATATATGAATAAAATAAATTTTTATTTATTATAATGTTAAATGAAAAATGTTTAATTTTGGTTTTATTTGAATCATTTATTAATTTTTGCAATTAATAAATGAATTAAATAAATGTATAGAAAAAATAAAATAAATAAAAAAATGAATTAACTAAATCAATAAAATGAATGAATTAATTTAAAAATGAATTAAATAAATATAATAAATAAATTAATTACTTTAATTAATAAATGAAATATATGAATAAAATAAATATAAGTATATTGAAAAATTAAATTAAATAAATAAATAATAAAATAAATGATAATTAAATAAATTAAAATAAATTAAATAAATAAATTAATTAGAATGTTCATATTAGTGTCGAATTCAATACTTATATTATTAATTATATATTTATAATATATATTTTATTATTATTATTTATATAATTTTATTATATAAAATATATATATAAATATATATATAAAATATATATAAATATATTTTATATTATATATTTATTATACTTAATAAAATATATATTATTAATTATTATATTATTAATAAGATATATTATTATTATTATATTTTTAATAAAATATATCACATTTGGAACTTCAATAATGTCTGGAACTTCAATAATGTGTTCCATTTCCAGCATTAATCTACGTCTATTTTTATATGTTTATTTACATGTATTTAAATATGTTATTTCTGTGTATGTTTATAATTATTATACACTGAAGATGGTCTAATTTTGTATAAAAATTAAAATATAACCAAATATTTAACACAATTTAAAAAGTGTAATTTTATTTTATTTAAAAAATATTTTTATAAATTTATGTATTAATGACATAAGCGCAATAACAAATAAAAAAACTAATTGAGTATTGGTCGTTATAAAAATTTATTATAAAAAAATAAACAGATAAATTAAACAAATAAAGTCAGTCAAATTAATGAATTAAATAAAATAAATAAATAAATTAAGTAAATTAATTGAATTAATTTGTTTATTATTCCAAAGTTAATTTTTTGTAATAATTGTGTAAGATTTGTGTAATGCAATAAGTATGCCAAATAAATTTGTGTAATGGTGGCAACCTATAATTTACTCTAATCAAATAAGAGAAGGCAATTTTTATGAGAATAACAAAATCCAACTGTCAAAAAATGAAGTTGTGAGAATAAAATTAGTGCAGAAATTAAACGAAGCACTGTTAGCGGAGCAGAGTAATGAGACCAATAATATTTCTGTTCATTATTTAAAGACACTACAGTGAAGTGAATGCGCGGCGGATGGATGAGAGGTCTTTGATAAAATTAAGAAAAATATCAATTCAACTAAAAAAAAATAATGTGAAAAAAATTATTAAATTTATTAATTGAAATAATACTGTGCAATATATTAATATTTTATTTGTATTCAAATAGATATTTAGTGAAATAAAGTGAACAAATTAAAAATGGTGAACTAAAGAAAAAAAAATTAGTTGAACCAATAACAAGAAGGCATGTGAGCTAATCATTTTAAAATTCATAAAAAAAAGTGTTAAGTTTTGTATGCAAAGCAATTGTTCGAAATATAGAGAAAAGAAAAGTTATTAAAATTAAAAATATATAAAAAACAACAATAAAAAAATGAAAAACATATATAAAACTGTATTGGCAATAAATTATGTTTTCTTTACAAGGTTTTATTACGAAGTGTTTGGATAATTGAAATATTCGCTTCCTCTGCAGCTGCTCTTTGAAAATTTACGTCGTTATACATACAAACAAACACATGCAGACGAGAGTTAATTGGCATAATCAAAATTAAAAAAAAAAGAAAATAACTTAACTATTAATAAATTTGGTGGTCGTAACCAAAAGAAATCACTTCACAAAAACAAGAAAAAAACTATATTTATTTTATATGAAATAAAATAATTAATTATAATAAAAATGACAGACTTTATGGATTCGACGCTGCTTAGCAGTATGTCGTCCACTTTTAACGCTGATTGCGCCACCACCACGGAAGAGGGTGGCGCCCTCTTAAATCTTGATTTGGCCGAGGATAAAACATTAAAATGGCGTAAATTAGCAAATAATCAATTTGCTAGCAAAAATAAAGAAAAAAAATTTATCAAATCTGAAACACAAATAGTGCAATTGCAAACAAATGCTGAGCATATACAAGAGCAAAAGCAGAATGAACAAAAACAACAACAACAACATCTGCCAAAGCACGAAAATACAGCTATCAATGATGATAATGCTACTAAAATAACTGCACAAACCACAACAACAACAACAACTACAGCAGCAACAGTAACAAAAATGATGTTAAACAATGAAAGTAATAGTAAAAATTTAATTGAAGAAAATTTGGAAATCGTGCAGGATACTACAAAACAAAACGACATTATAGTAACAGAAAAAGAACAAAAAATATCGGAAGGGGGGCTAAGAGTGCAAAAGAATGGTACTAATAAAGCCGATAGTGGCACGGTTATTGCTGCTACTTTTAATGAAACAGCATTATCCACCGTTCAAGGCCAGCAAGTACATAACAACAAAAACAGTGCTATGCACGACGACAACGACAACGACGACGACGACGTCTTTGTTATTCGTGCAGCTAGCGTCGGCGCAGAAAACAAAGCGAAAACAGAAACGAAAATAAACACAACATTAACAGTAGTAGCATCATCGCCACCACAAACGAAAAATGCTGATGCCCAAAATTTGGAATTATCAATTGCCGATGCTGATGCTGATGCTGTTGCTGTTACTGTTGCTGCTGGTACGATTGATACGATTGGTAATGTTGTATCTGCTGGTCTTATCATAAAATTGGAAAATGAAAATTGTGTTAAAAATGAAAATTGTGTTAAAAATGAAAAGACCGCAAAAAATACTGTCGCTCTTACTGCTGCAAGTGAATTTTCTGCAATACCAACAATAATAGCAACAACAACAACAACAACAACAAATACTCAAACCATTCGAACACAATCAACAGTTGCAGAAACAAAAATAGCAAAATTGCCTCCAGCATTAATTCCAACTATAACAGCTCCAACGTCAACATCTGCAACACCACTTGTTGTTGTTACAGCCGCTGCAGAGAACGCTGTTTCAGCTTCCTCGCCGATGACTGATGACGTTGGTTTTACGGCAACTGATAAAAATGTAAGCATTGGCAATACAAAATTAAAAATTAAAATTATCATAAATACTAACAAAATTTTTTAGTACATTTTTTTTTCTGCTTCTTCTTCTTCTATTGGAAATTTATTTATTTTAACTAAAGCTCTTCGTATAAAAATATTGTATTGTATATACAGGTTATATTTTTTCTCTATTAGTAATTAAAAAGTACTTTAGTATAGAAACAGATTATTTGTGTTCTCTTATTAATATCTATATTACATTAATAAGAAAACCTATACAAAATTTTGAGAAACTATTTAAGTTTACATATTCCAATTAACTCTTGCTAAAATGATATTACGTGCCAATCAGTTCGGGTTCGTTGTTGTAGTTGTTGTCGTATTTCTGTTGCCCTGTTGTTGTTTTTGCCTTTGTCGTATGTATACAGCGTTGTTTCTTCGTTTTTTCACTTTTTTTCACTTTTTTGCTTTATTGTTGTTGCTAGTCTTGCGTTTCTTTATCATTAATTGCTTCTTTCCATATTATTTGTTTAATGCAACATAAATTTTATTTTATATTATTTTTTCTTACAATTCTATAGAAAAATTTAGTTATTTTTAAATACAGAAATTAATATAAATAATATTCAAATATTATAATTTATTGTATGTGAAAATCGTAAATTTACTTATCTATCTTTTATTAGTTAACTTATTAGTTACTAGTATCCGAAAAAAAAACCTGAGTCATTGCTTAGCACATAGTTTGCAACATAAGATAAAATTTATTTTTATGTTTTCTATGAATGTTTTATTTCTTTATTTTTTTAAATTTATTTTATTTCTTTATTTATTTTATTTCTTTAGTTATTTTTTATTTTGTTTCTTTATTTATTTTATTTCTTCATTTATTTTATTTATTCATTTGATTTATTTCTTTATTTTTTTAAATTTATTTTATTTCTTTATTTATTTTTTTTCTTTATATGTTTTATATCTTTATTTATTTTATTCATTCATTTGTTTTATTTCTTTATTTATTTTATTTCTTTAAATTTTTATTTTATTTCTTTATTTATTTTATTTCATTTTTTGTTTTACTTTTAATCGATTTGAACAAGTTATAACAGAGCATTGTAATAGATTTTTCTCAATCACAGTTTCATCTATTCCATTTTTCATTGTTGTAGTTTCCCAGCCGTATTTTTTAAAAATAGATTTTTATCGATAAATTATATATATACGTAAATTATATATATTTTTTTATCTTTTATTGTAGTAGTTCCTCATTGTTTTAGTTTATTTTATAAATAATATTACATTGTTTTGTATCAATTTTTTTTGCACTTAGGCCGTATGCGAATTCGAGTAAATTAATGGTAAATTGATAGAAATAGTAAATTATGTCGGTATGCCAGCGAATGTTGGTATTAACCAGAATTTCCATTAAAGTAAATTAAATAAAAATTAGGTAAATTATATTATAAATAATATAAGATGTTTAATAAATAAATAAATAAATTCGAAAATTTTCAACCAAAAATAATAAATAAATAAATAAAAATGTACATAAGCGCAAAATATCCCTAGGAAATTTCAACTTTACCTCAATTTACTCGAACTCGCACACGGCCTTAATAGTTTACAACAAATTAGAATATATAATTTTGTTGTAGATTTTTAAAGCAAAGCTTCATCTATTATATATTTAATTGTAATAGTTCCTCATTGTTTTATTTTTTTTTGTATTTCAAAAATAATAGTACATCATTTTGTTTCATTTATTTTATATTTGTTAATAGTGTTAAATATTAATTATAATATAAATATATATATCTTTCATTGTTGCTGTTTTATGCCGCTGGGAGCCACAAAATACACAAGTTGGGATGTGGATGGGTAGTGATTAGGGAATGGGAGGTGGAATGAGGGAGAAGGATTAGATATGCGATGGGTGAGGAATATGCTACTTCATTGTAGTAGCTCCTCATTGTTTTATTTTTATTATTTATTATATATTATTTTAAATATTTCATTCTTTTTTTTCCTTTTTTTGTACTTATTAATAGTCCTAAATAAATTATCATATAAAACCATTGCTTTTCTTAAAGCAAAGCATGATATATTACATTTTTATTTTATTAGTGGCCTCCTGTTTTTTTCGTTTAAATTAATATATTATAAGATTGTGATAGATTTTTAAATCAATAATTCATCTAAATATCTTGCGTTGCAGTAGTTCTTCAGCTTTCTTTTTTAAAAACCAATTTTTATCGATAAAAGATAAATAAAAATATGTTTATATCCCTTTTTACAGTACTGTAATAGTTTATTATGGAACTGAGAAACGACAAAAAAATTATTGTCAAATTTCGTAATCAACAAATTTATTTTTAATATTAAAAATACTTTATACGACGTTCTTCACAAAAAATATTTCTTATTTTAAATGTATAAATGTTTATTTGCTTTTGTGGCACGTTTCCTATTTTCCGGGCACGCCTATTAGACAATGGGTTTTAGTAAAAATAGTTACATTAAATAATTTTTTATCTACGCTATTTATCAATATATTTTAATTTTTGGGAATTTATACGTGAAAACGACAAAATACGTCTACTTGCTACCCTTCGTGTGCGTAATTAATATGTAAAGTGTAAACTCTAGTTGGTACTAGATGGCGTATATATTTGTTTTATTAGTTAATAGCAAGTTGATATGCAGATATCTGAGTTGGTGATTCATCACCTTAATTCTATTATATCTGTGGACAGTTTTAAGTCACACTAAGAATAACTGAATACGGGGCTTTATAATATGATGGATCTGATGTCTTTGTATCTGCCTATGTTTATCAGATTTCGCTGTATTTTTAGGTTGCTGAGTGTTGGATTATTAGTGTAACCAATTCAAAGCTTTAGTAACTTTTGTTGTTGTTGTTGTTGTAACCCGCCGGGACCTGGTTGTGGGGTCCCTTTGGGAGGTGTTGAACGGTACTTGGTCGCCGTAGGTGACGAGTGGCTCCGGGACGTAGACCCGACCGTTCTTGGAACCTTTAGTAACTTTTAAACTTGTTCTCTTAAGAAGTACGCTATATCAATATATAACATATGTTACTCATAAATAATTTTTGTACACATAACTGAAAAATTCATATACTGAAAAGAATCGTCATTTACATACTGCTAAATGAACTGTAAAAACTTAGACTTAGAAATATTTAAGCTCATATAACACAGTCTTAAATTAACTGAGCAGAGAGAATGTCAAAATTTTTACTGGGTTTCTGCCAGGGCACTGCGCGCTGAGGTACCACATTAACCAGTTATGTTACCAAATTGACAAGAAAAAATGGAATTTATCATTCTTTGTAAATTGAGAAATAGCAGAATTATCCATCCGGCGGCAGATTTCTTGCTGCTTATAACATAAAAGACAATATAACATCATATATGGTGCGTACGTTTATTAAAAACCAAATTTTCGGTTAAAACACCTGTAGTTAGTACAATAGAACACCTGAGTCGCGGTGTTCTGTATTCTTTAATTAATAAATAATAAATAAACCAAACTTTGTAAGAAATTATGTTAGTAAAATAAAGATTATAGAGTTAAAGATAATATTACTAGTATACATATATAGTATATAATAATAACAGTATATAATATATATATATATTCATAAAATCAGTGTCTTTTGCATCAATAATTCCAACATTGATTGAAATCGAGAGGCGACTAATTTTCAATCTTAGATGAGATTATACTATAATTCTAAAGAATGTTATCTTGTTTTTTCTTATCTTGTTTTCATATATAAAAATGTTTCTATTTTTTGCTTTCAGTTTCGACTGCCCTCTTTCAATTAAATACATAGTCGCTATTACTGATAGAAATGAACCATGTTAAATGTAAATGTTTTATTTAGTTTAATTTTATTAATTAATATTGATTTTGACTTCATTAAATTGATTTCATCCAGAGAAAATGTTTGATATCTATCTTTCCTATATTAAGTTCTGGAACAAAGGGACACTTTAAAAATATGATTTATTCCATTATATTTTTGATTTTGATAAAGAAAATTAATCTAGAAAAAATTCATGATATTAATTCAAATTTTCTAAGTTAAGTTCCAGAACAACGGGAGTCTTAAAAATATGATTTATTCCATTATATATTATTATTGATTTTATTGAAGTAGATTAATCCGGAGAAAATGTATGATATCTATATTTTCTAAGTTATATCCTCAATCCGAAACTTGTCTCAATTAGATTTTAATTAATTTCATCATAAAATCAGTCTTGTATGTATCGGTACCATTGCACTGATACTAGTACATAATATCTACTTCGTAGTGTTCGCTTGTCCTAGTGTGGCATAGGGCAATAGGGCCGCATACTAGTAATATGCAGTAACTGAATCCCACATTCCAACATTAAAAATATTTTATTGGAGTTTTTTTTTCAACATACCATAATTTTAAGGATGCTCTTCATTTCTTCATAATTTGTTATATTTTACTTGAACTCCCTTTTTACCGCTAATATTCCTGATTTTGTACCAGTTGTACTTGTTGCTATAGTTTTTATTTCTGTTGCAATACATGTGTGTGTGAATGTATAGGTATGAATGTAAGTAAATATTAAATTTGGCTATAAGTGGTATAAATAACTGGTACTGTGGCTGCTTTTAACTTGATTTATCTAATATTAAAGTGTAACAAAAAGAAGTAAATGCATTTTGTAGTGCTAAATAGGTTAAGATGTCTTAGTTTATTTATAACTAATTAGTTTTGATATGTTTAATTTATTAATGTCTAAATAGGGTAATTTGTTAAATATTTGAATACTGATGTAGATTCTTTGTAAATAAATATTTAGTATATTAACAAGACTACTATAATATTAATATCTAATTTTTTTAATTAATTATAAATTCCTATATAATGGTACTAATTAAGTTACCAGTACGAAAAAAACAGTCCTTTCTTTACCAGTTAATTATATTTTATTAGCTAATTTAATAGTTAGCAAA